ATTTTATACAGCATCTTAACCCCTCATTTTTGGCGGGAAAATAATCTAACGCTAAAAACGGCGCCAACTATCGACTTCTAACTATCGCCTGGAGAAGATACTCAAAGGCCATAGGTAATAGGAAGCCATTGCTATATTTATTGAGCTGTGTTAGGAATAAATAATCTCGAGCAACATTTTGTAACAGTTCTGAAAACGAAAAGTAGTGCAGCTCTAAATTTTTAAACGATGGTCTGTTTTTATTGAGTCTTTCCATTTCAAATCTTAGGCTTTTTTTTCTTCTCATAAAGAGCAAACAGCCTATTACAGACTACCAGGTCTGCACAAGAAAATAAAAATGTGCGAAAAAGTATAAGTGAATTAACTTTTTGATCCCTTTTTGAAGAGGCTTTGAAAATGAGTAATACGTTTTGTTTTGTTTATTTTGTTTTTGTTGGATACAAGATATTAAAAAAGGTACATTTAACGTTAATGGGCCATCTGGAATACTAAATTAAAAACCTTATCCTTGACACATAGTTTGGCTGGTGGGAAAAATATTGGGAGCGTCAATGAAATATCGCTCGAGACTGTTCAACTTTAACCGAAGCACTCCATTGCCAAAACAAATTTACATACGGTATTGCACGACAATTTGTGATGCTGTTTCTGAGCCCAGCCGGGAACGATTTAATTCCTTGGTTAAAAAATGCTCTCGTATTCTATTTCGAGTATATGCTCTTTTTGATTCTTTCACTGAAATGCGCTGTGCAGAATGCTCGCGCCTTTTTCCAACCTTTGTGCGCTGGCTAGCTTTTTTTCCAGTTACTTTGTGAGATATGATATCTTACAAGGTAACTACGCCCACTTTTGTTATCTTAACACATCTCCAATGATCAATGAATATACAGCTTTGAGTGTTTTTTTTACGTCCATCAAGCACGAATACTTTACATATTATCTCTTCAGAAAACACCGACCAGTAAAGGTCAATGTATACAAGATAGTCTTCATTAAACTTCGTTTTGGTTGTAAGATTCCAAGTTTCCTACAGCCCGACGTTTGAAAACTGAAGGAAGACGTAAAAGTTTTCCTTTTCTACTGATGTTAATCGACTAAGACTTTACATTTAACTCCAAATATTTTGTGATAGTTTAGTAACTTTGGTAACAACTCAAAATTGAATGTCACTGTAACTGTTAAAAAGCCTGATGCGATCAGTGAAAGGGAAAAATTTGTCTTCGTTATGGTCCTCGTTTGTGTTGCCCTTTTGTTATTGTTTCGACGACACCTCAAGTTTTTTTCATCACCAAAACCTATTTTCCTCAGTTTTTCCTTCAGTCATTCCGTTCCTAGTCAGTATGATTGAGATCAATGATCATTCGTTTTTCCTAGACTCTGTGCGTCATGCACGTTTCTCAGCCACTTCCAAGATTCTCATGATGCCACCGAAAGTTGAATGCTATCATACACGTGACTAGACCCTCCGATCCAAACCTGCATCATTTCCTTTATAACTGAGAATCGTGGAACCTTTCCGTTTATCACGATATTGTGAATAGATAGGATCAGTGTCAGTGACTGAGCAGCTTCTCACCTACCCCTCCACTAACCCAACATTAACACTAACTGTTGTTATCAGTTGACAGTCGTTACGCTATGTTACAAGGGAGGGGAGGGCCTTAGGTGTGCAGTTGCTCAGATTGACCAATGAAAAGAACGCAACAGGATGTGACAGATGGTGAATCTTTAATTTGTTAATATAATGAATTTCGATCGTCACCGAGCTTAGGATTAACCATCTATTACCATTTACTCACATAAAATTTTCGACATTGCTGATCCTAGAAGTCAGCATGCGAGATGCATGTCGTATAAGAAAATAGGCGGCGTAGGACTGCATGTGGCTACTGATATAGCAATTTTTTATTGCATTGTAAAGAATTAGTGGTTGTATAATGATGCTAGAAGGTAGTGTTGCAGAAAGTTTGTCTCAAAACAGTAAAACCTGCCGCACCCCACATATCTATGAGTATACTGTTCCACAAGAGAAAGATAATTCCAGAATATAGTGACAAATTGACCATCAACCAATGATTAAATGGTAACAAATAATAATATCAACAATACTTCTAATAATGATAATAACAATGATAACTATAGTAATAGTAATGATAACTTATCGGGGCTAGCTCAAGAAGCCCACTGTTCCTCCATCGATCTATCCTCAAGGTTTCAGTAATGATTAAACTATGCTTCTTTTAATTTTGCCTGTTGGCTATGAATTACTTTCTTATTTCACTGCAATTCCATTTTTGTGAGACTTTTGTTTCATACAACGAGGCATTCCATGTTTTAGAATATTCCTCCATTCTGCCACTCCGCTATTCCACTGTTCTTGTCATTCCGTCGAGTAGGGTCACCCTGTTAAACTCACGTTAAGGTTTTTCGGACCTTATTCGCTCCGCAAATTTAGCAGCTGTTTAAGGCTTTAGCCGCAGATTGAAATTGTAAAATGCTCTCTCTTCGAATAAATAAAAGTTTTTTCAAAGTTTCCACGATGTGCAGATCAAATCTATTTAATAAAGGGGTAAGTTTCTAGAGAAACTGTGGTGCTGCGTCGGTGGGAGAGTATAGCAGGTAATTTAGTGTTAACCACTGGGTTGAAAACGTAAATTAGCCACCGTAAAGGGTAAAAAAGCTGACTTTCGAGCGTTAGCCCTTCGTCAGAGCGATTAGAGGAATTGTGGGTTGTGTGTGGATTTATATGCAGAAAGTGGAGCTACGCCATTGGTAGGAATATGGTGACGAGAAAACAGGAATAAATTAGTTGAATGAAAAGCGCTCGTTGATTCCGTGGGGATTAAGGGTGCCGATTTGGAATATAAATTTTTGTTCTAGTGTTTTACGGCTTTCTGGACTGCCTAGATGTAAGGAAAGGCCGCAAACTGCCATATGCTGTTTAGAATGATT